AGCATCCGACCCTCTGCCCTCCCCTCCCCCCCCCCAGCCCCGCATCTCGGGGTCCACCCCGTCTCACTCCTTGCGGGGGACATCAGGGGGACAGGGCGGAGGGCGAGCGGCTTCTGGAGGACTTGGGGAGGCTGCTGGCCGGTGAGTTGGCTCTGAGGGGGGGGTGCAAGGCTTCGGGGTCTCAGGGGACGGCAGGACACCCCGCTGCAGGGCCGGGGCAGGGTGGGAAGGAGGGTGGGTGGGTGCCCAGAGGCTAGTGAGGGTCACAGGAGGAAAGGGGACGAGCTGTCAAGTTACAAGGATGTCACCTGGAGCCATTTTCTCTGCCCTGTAATAAACCACTGATAAAAGCTTTTAAAAGTAGATCGCAGGGTGTTCATCCTGCAGCCGCCGTCCTCCAGCCTGGCAGGACTACTCGGGCAGAGGTGGGCACCCAGGACCAGGATGCTGAGCGGTCCCTGCCCCTCCCATACTCATCCCCTGGCCAAACTGGGGCATCTCTGGTAGGAAACCCACCTCGCGTGGAGCTGGGGTTGGAGCCAAAGCAGCGTGAAGTGCCCGCAGCGTGGGAAGACTGAGGTGTCTGCAGAGGTGCAAGGACCTCCGCTCTGGAGCAAGCCAGCTCATCCTTGGAAAAGGCCCTGAGCCAGATGAAGGTGGAGCAGGGGGCAGCCGGACCCACCCCCGGGAGAGCTTCAGCTCCGTGTGTCTCAGCCACAGCTCCCTGTCTTCACAATTCCGCTGACGCAGCCGTCGCTGAGGCCAGGCTGTGAACAGGCTCGGGGCTAAAAATCGTGCCGTGTGAGTGAGAAGGGGATGGTTTTGAATCTGGAGCAGTTCATGGGGCGAGTTTGCAGCGTGGCTGCTGCAGGACGTGCAGGCGTGCCGGGTGAGCCAGGGATTTTCTCCAGGGGGGGCCAGGACCTGCTTTGCAAGGCATCTGTGGGGGCTGTCACTGCCCCTCTGGGGCGTGATGCTTTCATGGACAGGGCCAGCGTGGGGGCTGCTTCCTGAACCCCCTCACCGTGGGTGGATATTGCTGGGGCCCACCATCGCGGAGCTGGACAGGCTGATGTCTGGCTGGAGGCGGGCGGTCCGTCAGCCCCTGAGCTTCGAAGCACGTCTTGAACATCTTCAGAGCCCATCTGGGGGGGTTCAGGGGCTCTGAGCCAGCGGAGGATGCAGAGCAGGGGTGGCTGCAGAGGACCAGGCCTAATTCCGCCTGCTCATACCCACGGGTTGGGTGAAGGATGCCGCTCTGACTGCTTCTGCAGGGACCCCCAACTCCACCAGTGACCCCATCTAGGCACGACCCCTGCAGCGGGTGAGGGCTGTAGTGCTGCCAGCGATCGCAGCGCAGGGAACAGGGCAATGCTCTTTTCCCTTGAGATTTTGATCCGGAATAGGAGACCATTTGGGGATGGTTGCGTTGAAAGCTTCGTTATTCTGGGACTGTCCTGGGCCAAGGGTGCCAGACCCCTTCCCACAGTTTAGGTGACACCATAAGCGTGTGACAGCCCGGGCTGTGTGGGTGCGAGCACGTCACCGTCACGCGTGGGCACCCCGGTGGGCTCTGCCTTAGGAGGGGCTGAGCCACCCTGCCGGGATGCTTTAACCCTTCCCAGGAGAAAGCCCAAGGACTTGGAGGGGGTGGGAGGATCCATCCCTGCTCCCTTCTTGTGCCTTTGGGTACCTGGTGCTAATTAGTGCCCTCCTGAAAAGGAGCAAATCTCAGAGTAATCCGGCATCGGCATCACAGCGAGATTCCCTGTAGATACGTTAGGCGGGGAAATCTATTACTCCCTAATTAAATGGAGGCAGAAATGATTGTTCTTTTTCTATTCCTTATATGTTCCTAAGCGTGAAACTCAATTATAAATGTATCTGCAGAAGGGGATTTGTCTACAAGTGGGAGTCTCTGCTCGGCATGGGGTTTTCAAAGCTAGAGCAAACACCTGGGCTGCTGCGGCAGAGCCTCGAATTCTCAGGATTTGGGGGATTTGGGTGGGCAGCCCCCTGCCCGCCACCTCTTCGTGTGCCAGCCTGCTTTGTCTGTCTCCCCCCCGTTCCCTGCTGCAGAAGAGAGATGCAGAGGCCGGACTTAAAAATAGAAAGCCGTCCCCTGGAGGATGGAGAAACGAGTGTTTGCTTGGGGGGGGCCTGGGATGGGGAGGCTGCGTTTGGGGAGGATGATGTGCTTCAGTGGGGCCTCGGGGACCACCCGTGGGTGCTGGCGAGTGGGTGACCGTCCCCACATGACGGCAGGACGCTGCCTCTTGAGCAGGGGCACTAGAAGGGCGTGTGGCTTCGTAGCTCCAGATAAGAAAAGCAATCAGAGGCAGCCTTAAATCTTCGCCGTGTAATTGTGGGCTTAAATTATCAGCGGGATGAGAGGGGAATGCTCCCAGCCGGGCTGGGGGGGTGTATCCACCAGGCACCATCTTAGCACCCCCAGACTCGGGGCTGGGAGCGCTTGGGGACCGGGGTGACACTAACCCCTGCCCAGGGAGCCCCATCCTGCCCTGGCATCCCCAGCACGGCTCTGCGGGGCGGCACGGTGCCAGGAGCATAGTCATGTGTGTACGTATATCCAGGGTGTGTATAGGAGACGGACGAGCACTGGGTGCATGCGTGCACTGAGAAAGAACATGTGTGTACATGGGTAGTGTGGGTATTTAGCGTGTGTTTGTACACATATTGAGCATATGCATGGTGTGTGGGGAGATATATAGAGCTTATACAAATTGTGTTCGTATGTTATATGTATTCTTACTGCATAGGTACGTATATAGCATACGAGTGTTGGTAAGTGCGCAGAGAGAGTGTGTATGTGCTGTGGGGAAATATTGTTTGCATTTTTCTGTATAGACAGTTCATAGAGAGTGCGCCTGCAGAGTATGCAATGTATTTGGTTTGTTCTATTTTCATACATATGCTGTATTTTTGTATATTTAAATTGCGTGTGCAGGCTGAGCACATACGAAATGTGTGTGCATAGTACGTGTGTATGACAACTATTTGTGTGTACACACAGCTTGTGTATATATATAAAATGAGTGTACACAGCATAGAGGTGTGTATCTATACGTATAGCACGCATGTGAATTCTAGATACTGTGCATATACAGAAATGTAACACATACACTGTATGCGCGCATGGTGTAGGGCAGAAATATATCGCTATACATTTATAGAGTGTGTGCGTGTGCTTCGCCTGTAGCTGCGGCGATGTCGATGTGTCTCCATGCCGTCTCCCCCCTCCTCGGGGTCGCCCTGGCCGTGCCGGGCTGTACCGGGGGCTGTACCGGGCAGACCCCAAGGACAGTGTGTGTGTGGGGGGGGGGTCCGGGTGCAACCTTCCCTCGCCCCCATCAAGCACGGACCCGGCTCCACTTTCAATCCCTTTTATTGACTCTTTCACAGACAGAAGCTCGCAGAAAGGAGCCCGCGGGTCTCGG